CAACTGCTGAATAGTCCTCCTTAGTGATGACCCCTCCTTTCCATTGGGAGTAAGCCTCCTTTTTGGCAAGGAGACATTCCCGGATGTTTTTAGTAAGCCATGGAGGCTTATATGCTCTCCTGCCCTCTTTGACCCTCCTGGGGATTACCTTCCTCTGGGCTTGTTTGCAGTTTGGTGTTGCTGCAGCGCATATTATAATTTTCATTTTGACCTGTAGAGTCACTGCTCTAAGTATCTATCTTTTATAGAAAACATTTGAAATCTCTATGATATAAAATGTTCTACCTATCCGTCTGGGTCTTATCAAACCACTTTCATTGTTTCCTTTTAGGACTTGCCTACAGTGCCCTTCTGGCTACCTAAAACTACACTATAGGCCAGCCCTTAATGCTTCGCAAGACTACGTGGAAGGGTTAGTAGAGTTAGCTTTAAAAATATATATATTTTCTAGGAAAAATATTGGGTTTTTTTTCTTTTGGATTTTTTGCTGACCTTTCTGATTTTTCAGTGAAATATTTCCAAACAATAGCAAAACATTGTTCTACTTGAATAAGCCTATGTCAAAACCTCATTTTTTTAATTTAAAATGAATCATACATTTGATTTTTTAGTTTTTCTAGTTATTTCCAACCCTTTTTTTCTCCTGCTATTGGAAACTCTGGTAAAACTCCCTTTGATTTCCATTAGGGTAGAATAAGGATGTGTACTTTTGAGTCCCATTCTTGGTTTACAAAATAGGTATGAAGATAAATAATGCAACTTGATGGTCTTCCTCCAGATGAAGTAAGTAGGTCAGATACAACAATTTTGGCCTGTTTACCAGCTGCCTAGTGGTGTTAGTTGTAATATTACATGACAATCTATAGACTGAAGGTGGAATCCATATGCTTGAACTGATTTTTGAAAGCTAAATAAGGCTAGGGACAGACATTACACATAAACTGGTTTAAGTGATCAGAAACTGATTTAAACCTGTAGCAGAACAGGTGTTCTGTGCACATAAACCAGTTTGAAAATGGCTGAAACTGGTTTGAGATAAACCTGGCTGAATGTACTACCAGACTTAACTGATTTGGCTCAAATCAGTTTATGCAATGTCTGTCCCAGATAAACCAGACTCCCCCGGCATCCCAGCATTCTCTCTGGGCTTGGTGGGGCTCTTTGCTCCACAGTAGATCTGGTCCTGCCCCCCTGCTCCCTGGCCAGAGCTCCAGCAGATAAGGGTCTGCCTGGCTTCCCCCTGCTCTACCCCCGTTACAAACCAGTTCAGCTTAACCAGGTTAGACTACCCTGTAACAGTTGAATCAATTCAGGCTCAGGCTTTTTGAATGTCTGTCCCTAGTCTAAGAGAAAATGATCATGAAATTCAACCCCGTTTATGGGTTTGTGGTTCAGCCATATTGTAAGCAAAGCAAGAATGTAGCAGGATTAATTTTTAAGTGGTTTTTGTACCCTTTGAAGTTGCTTAGTTCATAAATGACACATGCCCCTGGCGGCTGGGAGGGGCATGGTGGTGGGAGATGCGCAGCAGCAGTAAGCAGTGAGCTCCCTCAGATGCCACTGGCACTGTTGGCAGGAGGGGGGACAGGGTGGTGAGCACTGACTAGGGGTTGGCGACCACCTGCAGGTACCGCCAGCAGCGCTGGTTGCGGCCAGCGGCAATCACTGACCACCTGCAGATGCCATCAGCAGCGGAGGGGGGAGGGTGAGTCCCCCTACGCATCAGTGGCTTAGTTAATAGTTCTAAACTGTCTGTTCTAGAGCAGAGAGTCTGCCCAAGCAAACCCCAAACTGCTGTCTATCCCAATATTTACATGATCCATGTGACCATCAAGGCACATTGTCAATTTTTATAAATTTTAGCTCATTTGATGAAGTCAAGAGAACTATGACAGCTGATCCCAGCTGAGGACTTGTCTCATAGTATCTCAGCACTGTTCAAGTATTAATGAATTCACTCTCACAATACCCTTTGAGCTAGGGAATTGTTAAGATGCCCATTTTACCAATGGGGACACTGAAGCACATTTAAATAGCTTGCCCAAATGCATACATGGACACATCTCGACTCCAAATCACCTGCATCCCAGTCTGGTACCTCCACCATAGGATCATATCCTTCCTTTCCTCCATATCTCAAGCTGTAGTTCATGCTCCTTATTCATGTACCCCTTTTGCAAGATTCCTATAAAGGGTGCCAGCTTGTGCCAACTGCAGGGGCATTTTTAAATGTATAGTAATGCTTTCCCTTCAGAATTAGTCTATGACCACCATTACGTCTCAGGCCTTCAAATGAAAATGATTACATCATTAGCTAGTATGTCAGGTTGCTTATTCTATCACAGCCTCAAAAGGAGTTCCTATGAATAACTTACTGTAAAACAGTAAGGATCTCATCAACAAAAAGATAACAGAAACTTTCCCAAGAAAGTAGCCTATCCAAGCATATACCCATTTCTCTCTCTATCAAAGTACATGATCATGTATCTTTAAAGATAGTCAAGAAGAAAAACTCAGTTTCATGAAAAATGCTTTTTTTGACTCGGCAGGGTTTGCAATAATTTTTTTCAAAAAACTGTCATTAGTTCTCCATTTTTTCCCCTTTTTCAATGCACTAAAAATTTAATATTTTCTATTTTCATGTCCCAACATTTTCAGCTTTGTAAAAAAGGTCATTTACACCTAGACAGCCACCTAGCTAGGGTCATTTGACCCCAGCATCCTTTCCTGCTTATGGCAGGGGGGAGGACTAGATGATCTGCTTAGCTCCCTTCCCACCCTACCAACTATGAAACTATAAATCTTTTTATCTAAAATATTTCAACCAGCTCCACTCCTCTCTGCTTTACACATTATCTAGTCACTGAATGTTGGCTTGTGTTCAGAAAGTGCTCCACAGGAAATATCGATACAATCATAGGGAACAATCCTGAAGCCAATTATATTTTAAAATTAAATTCAGTGGAGATTTGCCCAAATGAGGACTGAGGTATTTGGCCCATAATTATTAATTTGGAACAATTCTTGACAAAGGAAAATTACCTTAACCCCTATAGAAAAATATTTCTGCATTTATGCTAATGCCAGACTCTCTTTTGAGATCAAGACCAAACCAAAGCTCAACCATTTAATGACAATAACATTTAAAAATGTAACTGAGGGTTTAAAAATTAGAAGGAAGCCATCTGTGCATGGAACTGATAATTGCTGGGATTATTACTATTTCTGAATCCAGTTTCCTTAAAAATGAAGCATTTTATAATTTAATTATGTTACCATTGAAAAGAAAGGGGACTAATATAAAGCACTCTGCTCAGATAAGAGAAAGCAGGACCCAGAGAACTGGTTTAGAAGGACCCCCAAATAATTGTAGGAATTACTTTTATCTACAGTTCAGCTCAAAGTCATCAGAATGACTTTTATATCAAAGAGCTGCAGTGACTGACAGGCACAGGATTCCCTTTGTACTGTTTAAAACTCATTAGGCCATGAAATAACTTTATCCTGCCAAGACAGGAAAGAACAACAGATGCTGGTTTTGCATTATCTGCATTATTTAGCCCAGCAATCTTTAGACATTTGGGTCAAGTTTCTACAAATTTGTTGCTTTCAACTGAGTGAGGAATCATGTGTCTTAACCTTTCAGTCTGACCTGCCTAATTGCTGTCCATTAATAACACCGTGCTTTTTTGGTGACAATTAACCATACACTGATGAGGTTTTGATTCAATTTTTTCTAGTGTGGAGACATAAATCAAACTTCAAATGGAACAAGAAAGGTACTGTGCGCCACTAAAAAAAAAAAGAGAGAGAGAGAGAGAGACTCTTAAATATATTGTACATTGTGGTTACTTGCCTGTCCTGAGAGCTTTCTGAGAATGTTATTTTCTACCTCCTCTTAGCATTGAAGCTGCAATTAAGGAAAACCCATTATGGTAAATTTAATTGCCTTTATTTTTCTTTTATAAAGACTCTTATTTTTCCAAAGTGTATGTGTATTGCTTAAAGCAATGGGCCAACTCTTATATAGAAAGAAATCATACCATTTGGTATGTTTTTCCTGAGGCATACTGCATTTGTCTACTGCAATTTCATAAAAAGAGAAAATAGAAGCCCAATAGGTAGCAAGTATCCCCTTCTACAAATGGTAAAAGACCAGGGCTTGATTTGCACGACTTCTATGCTCAAGCCAGGCTGTACCCCATATAGGGAGTGGGAGCAGTAACACTCTTTCCCCTAGGGTAGGACAGGTGTAAGTTGTGAACCCTAAATTAATATAGTTCTGGGCTACTCTGACTTATTTTTGTCACTTTTATACATGCTGTATTACACCTTACTCTGTGTGTAGCTGTTCACAGTTAGTTTGAATGAGGGTGACAGAATAGAAAGTGAGGATGATCCATTGGTCAGGACGCTAGTTTACATACTGGGAGGCTTGGGGGCAAGGCCTATTCCTAGGACTTACATGGTATCTTGAGCAAATCATTTAGGTTCAAATTCTGACCTTGAAATCAGTAAACGTAGTAGGACTCACTGTCCACCCCATATGGGCACATTTCCAATTTGTTTGGCATATAAACCCAAAATATGTAATATAAACTGGCTCTGAGAATCTGGGCTTGTGGGCCTCACTTCCATATCTACAACACTGGATAAGAGCATTTCCCTAACAGAATTGCTCCGATACTCGAGTGATGGGCACCATATATTAGATTCTAACCCTTTGTAAACTGCAATGGCAACTTCTAGATACCGCTGGAGCATCTTGCTTCTACTAAAAGTCTATAGAATGCCAATGATGCATCAATTCCTCATCTGCATTGTGCTGAGTTATTAATTTGTTTCTATTGTCTTTTCAGAAAACACACTGACAAAAAACTGGCCATAAAACATGTATTTCACAAGAGAAAATATGCTGTTCTTGCCTCCCACTGTTACCCTCTGCACTATATTTGGGCAAACTTATTTGGTGGAAAAGGTCCAATTCCAATTTTAATAAACGATGACTTGGCTGGGGTGAAATTTAAGAACTCCTATCCATTAATCATCACTCTCTCAAAGGTGGAGATGGGATATTTGGATGTGCAATTTGGCCCCAATGTTGTACCTAGCCTTCTAGCCATTATCATTCTTCACGATTTGATCAGTACCATTTCCTTGCAATCCACATCATTCAAATCAGTATTTCTCCTCTAGGAGACTCCACATTCTTCCTTTTCACAAGTTTCTCTTACTGTTCCCTCACTTCATGTTCCTCCTCCTGTCTTCCCTTTGTATTTTCCTTCCTATCAGAACTCCAAGTTATCTAACCATCCACAGAAGGTTATACTCCCAAACCCATTACGTTTGCTAAAATGAGAAATTAAATGCTTACACTTTTGGCACCATTAGGTTTTAGCACTCACACTCCACTGGGTTTAATGGGAAACAAAGGTGTTCACATATCCCAAAGTTTTAGGCTGTCTGCTACTACAGGCAGTGTAATCAGTTCAGTGACAGTCACATCTGGCATGTTTTCTTCACCACTATAAGGGCTAATAGTGTGATTTTTGTTAAAGGCTTAGATTCTGCAAATTCTGAATATACCAAGCAGTCTGAGTATTTGCATAAGATGGGCTTAATCTGGATCACAGCTTGTTTGTTTGACACTTCCGTATGAAAGAATTCAGGATTTAGCTTTTAGGATATATGTTTTAGCAGGAGCTATTTCAACATCAGCATAGCAAGTGTGTCAATTTTTCTATGCGTTAATGACCAACCTCTTATCCCCAATTATAATAAAAACAAAAAAGGACAGAGTACCCTTGATTTTTTTTTAAAGTATAGATTCATTTGAAAATATATGTATTTGAACCTGCAGGAAGGCCAATATGTAGAAAAGCCAACGAAAGGGAATATATTTTTAAATAAAACGGAATAGTTAAACACTGCTATGATTTTAAATGTTAGCAGTAACACTTCCATGCTGGATCTTGCAGTTCGTGGAAAGGCCCAAGGCTCAAATTCCCAGGATGTAATCCCAGCACCCCCAATTCCAGTTAACCTTATCAGAATCTCATTTCACACAGCAACTTGGAAGTGGGCACTCAGCAAAGTCCTGATTCTACTTCCATTGGTTTCAGTGGGACAAGAGGGGCCACTTAACAAGTTCCTGGTTGAATGAAGATTTTGGGAAGGCTGTGGAAGAAGCAGCTATGAACATCTGCCTACTGGAGCTGTTCTATAGCACTCCCCAGCCACAAATTAGGGGCTGATAGCAAGTACACTACTGTTCAGAAAAATACATCCCACAGGACTCCAGGCTGTACTTAAAGTTAAGCCTATGCTTAAGGGTTAAGTTGCTTATCTTCCTGAATAGGGCATATGGGTACTTTCTAGAACTAGAGTGTTATATACATATACACTTATCATTTTCCTCTTTTTATTTTCTCCATTTTCCCCTTTGTTACGTGTTATCTCCATTCCCTCATATGCCATCACAGCAAATTGAGTCAAAATGCCAAGTCAGCATTTTTATTTCCATTTGCTTCGGTGGCACAGGATTAGTCCCCAAGTCTGTGTTCCTTCTTCTTTTTATTAAGGGAACACGTGGATAAAACATTATGTAAAATGTGTGTGTGTGTGTGTGTGTGTGTGTGTGTGTGTGTGTGTGTCTGTGTGTGTCTGTGTGTGTCTGTGTGTGTGTGTATATCCCCTGTCTAATAATAAAATATTATTGAACAGAGAGCATATTGTTTTGATGACAACTACCCAGTTACAAAAAAAAAAAATTCTTCTGTGGTCTATCTATAATAAATATAAACAGAGCTTCAAGACTGTATATCTACCAGTCACTTAAGTGTCTGTCTGTCTTTCTACCTTTCAAAGACTCCATCCTGCAAGTTGGTAAGCACTTATTGTTGAAATCACGGCACAGGTATGCTGAGCATCTTGTAAGGCCAAGCTCCTGAGAATTCTTTTTGCTGTAATATACAGGTGAAGTTGCCACAATGCCTTTAATAAACAATATATACTGGTAATTCAGTTTCTACTTACACTTGCATGGAGTTTTCCTTTTTTTGACATCGCTAAAAAATTGTTGCTGAAAACTCCTCGTATTCCTACAATCCCCTGAGACACAGCAAATATTTCCAAAATACCTAGGATGACAGAAATCCCAAAATAAATCACCATTCTTTTTCAGATAAGTGTGACAAAAAATAAATCTTGTGAACTGTAGGGTTTTTTTCCCCCCCAAACTCTTGGTTTTCAGCTTCTTTGTTTTAAACAATAAATTAATGTTTAAATGAATACTACTTTGGTTATTGAAAATATATGTTTATTCCTAGATGGCTTTTTTAAAACCTTAGGATATTTTCAAATGATTGGCAACTGATCTTAAAACATGTAGCATCTCTCCTTCATTTGTGCTCTGGTCCTGCAAAAACTTAAGGACATACATAGCTTTAAGCATATGTGAAGTCCTACCAATGTTTTGGGGATTCCTCATCTACCTGGAGTTCAGCACATGCTTATGTCTTTGCAAGATCAAGGCTAATTATCCAAACAAAAACCTATTTCTCTACAAAATCTGACAGGCCTCTTTTCCTAAGAACACAAAACCCTATGTTCTATTCATGGTAGGTTGTAACACAAACCAGTAAAAGCCAAGAATTTCAACCATGTGGCTTATAAGACGTGCAACTGTCACTGCACCAATCATTCTTATGTAAGAAGACAAGCTGTTAGGAGACCTCTTGCTCCAGGGTCTCGACTGTCATGGGTTTCAAATGCTGTCCCTTATTTTAGAACTATATTTACAGTCGACATGGATTTAGTCTCTCGCTGTTATTGCTGCAAATGATTTACACCAGAAATATGATAGGAGGACTGAGATGAATGTTGGGTGACAAATTCTGATTTAGATGAAATATGGCAATTTCAGATTTTTTCCAGTACAGAGAAGCTGAATAACATGTATTAGCATGTCACACCATTTGGACACATCTATAATTTTATACTAACCAAAACAAGGGCAGAGGAAAATGTGGATAAAAGAAAAACGAGATGAAAGTTGAGCATTTTAAATATCGATACTTAATCAAAAATGATAACCTTTTCATGAAAATGAAAACCTCCTTGTACACCCATACAATATACTATGAAAATAAAGTTAGAACAAATATTGATTAATACTAAAGAAATGACTCACGTGTTTTCGGAAGGTTCCTATGGGTCAAGCTCTTATACTTCACACTGGGCACATCTACACGTGCCCCTACGGTGCCATTGTTACTGTGTCATCATTTAGTATTTCCTTTTGAAGGTACTAAATGACAGCACAGTAAACAGCCCAGACTTCACTGTGCTGGCGATGCAGAGTTATTTTTAGCCACTACATCGCTGTAGCAACATGCTGTAGCAAGGGAGCATGTTGCTATGGCAATGTAGCTGCAGAGTCACAGTTCATGGCCACCAACGCTACATCACTGTAGCACGTTGCTGCGGTGATGTAGCATCTCGTGTAGACACACCCACTGAGTAGCATCCTAGACTTCAGATCCTCCTTCTGATTTCAGTGGGACTTTTTCGTGGCATAAGGAATGACTCAAGTTGCCTAATCATAACACTAAGTCTGTGGTACTCAATCTCTAACCTGTGGGCCACATCTCCTACACAGAGCCATGTCACCTGGCCCACAGGGTTCCCCACAAGTCCAGAAATTTGGTGGCAAGGGAGTGGTGGCAGTGCTGATTGCTACCACTCTCCCACTGCCAAATTTCTAGGCCCTATGGACCAGATGATATAGCTTTGCACATGGGGCTGGGTCCTGTTTACAGGACCTGATCCAGCACATGGGGCTGGAGCCAGGCACCACATTGAGCCCCAGCCAGGCCAGCCCAGCATGCCAGATCAGGCCTCACTCAAACTGGTCTTGCACACCACACTGGTCATCTGGCCCCATGAGCCAAATCAGGTCCACAGAATGAATCCAGTTTGCATACCGACTCCTCACCACACATCTGAGTATAGAACCTTTATGCTTTTTAGGAGCTCCCTTGAAGCTATTGTTAGAAAAACTGAGAGCAAAATATGGGGTGGTGATGGCAACTGAGCACTCATCTGGAAGGAGAAAGCCATTGCGGGTAGGTCCTGTGCAAGCATAAAGGAAAAAAACTGGTCCCTTGCCCCACAGAGTTTTATGCTTTAAATACAAGATACAAACAGTAGTGATGTGAGCTACAGAAAAGTGATCAATGATGATAGAACCTTAGTGTTGCTTAAAACAAAATAATTGCATCCTATGGCAGTGGCAGTGAGGGCCAGCCTTTTTGGCAGGTGTTCCACAAGGCAAACTATGCATCTTCCCTGAGTGCCACTTTGATCCCCTTCCCTTGCTGTCTGAATGGCAACACAGTTGCTGCATTGTGGAGCAGGAATCAAAGCAGGGTGCTACTATCCCAGGCAGAAAATTAGCTTCCTTGATTAATACTGATGACACCAAACTCTGGGGTAAAGCATCCACACCTAAGGACAGGAGGGTGATCAGTGTGATGCTGAGACTAGTAAAGCGAGCAAGACACTGGCTTGCATCCATAGATGCTTCTCAAGCAGATCCCAGGACGTCATTCTCCCACTGTACTCAGCCTTGGTGAGGCCGCAGCTGGAGTACTGCATCCAGTTTTGGGCTCCACAATTCAAAAAGGATGTGGAGAAGCTTGAGAGGGTGCAGAGGAAAGCCACGTGCATGATCAGAGGTCAGGAAAACAGACCTTATGACAAGAGGCTGAGAGCAATGGGGCTATTCAGCCTGGAAAAGCACAGGCTCAGGGGTGATCTGGTGGCCACCTATAGGTATATCAGGGGTGCTCATCAGGATCTGGGGGAACAACTGTTCACCAGAGCTCCCCAAGGAACGACAAGATCGAACAGTCATAAACGCCACTGTGACCAGTTCAGGCTGGACATAAAGAACTTCTTCACTGTCCGAGCCCCCAAGGTTTGGAACAGACTGCCACCTGAGGCGGTTCAAGCACCCACTTTCAACACCTTCAAAACATGCTTGGATGCTTATCTTGCTGGGATCCTATGATCCCTGCTGACTTCCTGCCCCTGGGGCAAGGGCAGGACTCAATGATCCTCTGGGGTCCCTTCCAGCCCAAATCTCTATGAAATCTATGAAATCTGGCCTGCAGGATCAAAAGGTTGGGTACCACTACACTAAGTGAATCAGATGCATTTTTTCCCTAAAAATGGATCTTTTTGCTTTGACTTCAGTGGAACTCTGTCTCCATGGCACTGGACTCCTGTCTGTGAATAAGGACACAATGCATCACACAGTAGCCTGGCCTTGGCAGGCCAAAAGATATAATGGGCACAGTCCTTCTGCTACTGAAATGTCATGGCTGACCTGCATTGCAGCTGAACAGGTGAGTAATCCCATTTCTATTCAGCAAAGCACTTGAGCATATATATATATATGCTTAAATCCAATTGCTATCGGTAAAATTCTCACCTTAATGTTCTGTTCATCTGAGCATTAAACTGGATGTTTCCAGGGAAGTAGTATAACTAGGAGTGGGTGACCAGGGCACCAACCCTGAGTACCAGCTTAGAGGAGGTTCAGGAATGGCACCCACCACCACTGCCAGCCCAGCTGCTATAGCCACTGCCAGCAGCCTAGCCACCATCATGCCGCCACTGCCGTGACAACATATTGGAAGACTTGAGCAAGTAACTAGGCATTGGCATGGCTGGCTTTAAACCCCATCTAGGTCTACACACCATGTGGTTAGCAACTATGACAGTGGTTCATCCCTTCTAGAAACCTTGACTGGCATGTACATCACCCTAACTGTGCCTGTGTAACTCCTTTCACTGGTTCTCTTTCCTCCTAGCTATGGTAGGCATAGCCCAATGTCTCAGAGGGCAGGTCATCCAAGCATACTCTCTTGCTACAGCAGCATAGGATAGATATCCAAAATGCAGTAAGATGAGCCTGCATAATAGGTAATGTAAAGAAAATAAACAGCTGCTGGCTTGGGGTGGATCCACTAGCAGAGTAACTAGGGTGGGGCAACCAGGACAGGCACATCAGGAGCTAACATAGGAGAGGGCTGGAAGAAAAAACAACACTGCCTTTGCAGCCACCCAATCATCAGCAGTCAGAAATTGCCACTGCCCCCATATGTCATAGCTGCCCCAGGCACCTTCAGTTATATATACACAAAAACCGTTTTAGTTCTACATACATGAAATACTTAAGGGCTCAAAACTCAAAATGTGGGTCCAGATTGTGAACGTGGAGGACACAAAGAGCCAGTGTTTTGATTGTGAATCTTCTCTAAAGTACATATCCACTACCTGAAACAACCATTTATCTTACTACTACTGAGCTGAAGCATTTTATAAACTTATTTGCCAAAACAGGGGTGTCCAAAAATTGTTTTAAAGATCTAAAATGGCAATCCCCAGCATTTTTCTGTGGAGCAGCATGGAACCGTTCAGAACCCTGTGCATAGCTCATGTGGAGTCCAGTCCTGCCCAATTCTTGCTGAAATCAATGGCAGACTTCAACAGGGACTGGATTTAGCCCTGAAGTCTAAATGAGATATTAGGAGACTGACTGTAGGCAGAATTGCCAGAATGCTTAACACAGGGTGCATCTACATATGTGCTTTACTGCAGAGTGGACTGCAGTAAAGAATCACCATCTGTACATGCACCCCTATTAAATTAATTAACTCTGCTGTAGGATAGTACTGTTTGGGACAAGTACCACCTTAAAGTGGAGTTATCTAGTGTGCTTCAACTAAATTTAGTCCACTTGTAGCCAGTGACCAGAGCTGGCTGGGACATGAGGGAGCTACAGTGAGGGGGCTGCCTACTGGGTAGCCTTGAACTGTAGCACTTTTGTGCCCCAGCCAGCTCCTCTGCAGAATGCTGAGCAGGGTCAGATCAGCTCTGGGCTGGCAGGCTAACTCCTGGGGCCCTCAGCCAGCTGAGGCTGGTCCTCCCCAGCTGAAGGTACTGTGGTCCTGGGCACATGTGTAAATGCTGCACCTGGAAACAATAAACTCCAGAGTTTATTGCTATGAGTTAATTGCACATGTAGATACACCCACAGAGTGCTACAAGGGCTGCCACACGAGACACAGCA